GGGAGGTACCCAAAAAGTCGACTTTTTGGGTACCTGCTTTGGTGGTGCTGGGTTGGGTCTGCACTCTTAAGGCTAAGGCTAAGGCTTAAGGCTAAGGCTAACATAGAGCAAGGCTAGCGCTAAAGGTTCTATCCCTTGGGGGTCGGCGGCTGCAGGCGGTAGCCTGGTAAATATATATATATATATTACAATGTCAGTTACATATGTTACAGTACATAATATAATTAGGTGGGAAACTCTCGATAGATAGAGTACACAACCACAACGATCGATTATCCGCAACCTTTTTCGCATCACGTGGCCAAACAGCCACAGCAAGCTGTCTGAGGGCGAGCTGTCAAGCAGGGCAACCATTTTCCAGTTGCATGCTCAATGGGACCAATAGATTGGTCGAAGGACACACTTCCTCCGCCAAACGGCCGAGGGAGTGCTCACGATGTGTAATTGTGCACAACTTTGTTCACACTGTGTATTTGTCTGGGGGTCCTTGCAATGCAGAAGCATGGTCAGCAAAGGTCCTTTAATCCTTGATAATGGCCCAACACCCTACACAACAGCAATAACCACAAAGCAACCAGCAAGCACCACAGTGGAGGAGCAAAAGCACACCAAAATGTGCAACTCCATCTGCCACAGGCCCCCCAAACAACAAAGAATTAAATCTGCGGGCTTTTCTAACACCCAAGTCGATCATGTAAAGGCGTGGCCGGGTAGCGGTCCAAATGGCCAAAGCAACATCTGTTGTCTTTGGTAGTGTCTTTGGTGGGCTCTATCAGTTAAGGCTGGGTGGCAAGCAAAATATATACTGATATACAAATACAAAGTCACAGCAAACATAAGCATATACACAGTATTCTCAGGGGTTTTCCTTGCAACGTCGCAGTAAATTGTAGGCTTGTAGGTTTGAACATGTTTTAACCCCCCCAAAGCAGCAAAGTTGCTCATGTCTGAATAGGCATTGTTGGTGTCAATGTCAGCTCCACTCGATATGTAAGAACTTCGTAAGAACTTCATTAGCTACTAAGTCTCTGAACAAATCTCCAGCTTGGTTCCGCACCCGGCTCAACTGCACTGAACATCCGGAAAATGCAAGGCTGAAGTGGCCGTACAGTGGATTCTCGAAACTGTCACAAAACTATAGTAATATAGATCCAAAAGCTTTTCGGAATATTGCAAAATTTTGGAAGTGTTGCAGCGGAACCCACTGGCATGCATACTCACCCTCCCGGCAAAAGGAATGGAATCGCTTTATCGCTTTATCCGGGGGTGGCAGCAGGTGCATTGGCTGGGAGGCGGCCGCAGCGGGCCTCAAAGGCTCACTATTGTGCGGTTGCCACACATTTGCTCCTGAGAGCAGCTTTGTGGTCATGTGTAGTCAGGTGATGGCATCCACAGTCAACATCTCTGTGGCACGTCAGCAAACGCCAGCAAACACGCCAGCAAAGGAGTAATGAATCCATGTTGCGCCAGGTTGCGCAGAACACAGCCAACAGGGAGCAGGTTTTGACATCATCTTTAAACATCAGCAAACTGAGCCAGCCCCCGTCACTGTCCACACTCTTGACCTCGTTTAGGGTCTGGAGGCCGTTTGAAACCGTCACTGGTCTTCTGTTCCCGAACGTTTGGAGTTTGGACCTCGCTCCTCGAAGCTGGGCATGGGGAACATCACAGGGCACCGGTGCGAGCGTCGCACTTCTTTCGCTGCGGCTCCAACATCGTCCTGCGGTCCAACGAGTGCCACAAGGAAGCGTTAAGCCGCCAGGAAGAACAAACACGTGATTTGGCCGCATTGGCCGCGCCCTGACATTCAATACACATGTGTCACCTACGGCTGGCTGTCATAACAGGTCAGTGGTCACCATGGCAGAAGGTGGATCTGGCTTGAATTTTCCTGAAGTCGATACCCATCAAAAGGTTTGGACCCCTAACAGAGAACCACGGCACACGCTTCTAGAAAAAGAAATACATCCCAAAGGCCCAGGCTCAGGACCCAACCTGTTCGCTCGGGACTTCGCCAGGGTGAAATGGAGCCTTCACCAACATATCAACACCCAGACACTCCATGGGACTGCCATAGGACTGCCGCGACTTCACCACCCCTGGCCGTTTCTCGGCAGTCCGGCAGTCCCATGGGTCGTGTCTGGGACATGTAGCAGGTTGGTTCTATGGGCCTCTGGAATCCAGAAGTCTTCTTCAACCTGTCCACGGGCCTCGTGTTGCTTCGGGTGAGCTTCGTTCGGATCGTCAGCGCTCTCCGCCACGGCGTTCGTTCGAACTCTTTGGGAGGCAAAAAGACTGGTACAGTACCTGTCTGTGCTCCCGTCCGTTTTTTTTGGTGGACATCTGCACCTGTCTGAACAGTCCAATCCCATGGCCCATCATGAAGACAGAACCGGACATGTACAAACTCACAGTCCCTTGTCGTGTACCCGACAGTCCCTTGATGATGGACCTAGTGCCCTGACCATCCATTCTTGGCGCCGACGTCCGATCTAGCCACAAGCCGAAGAAGTTTGAGGCCCCCCTGAGTTTCTAAAGGACTATAGCCTCCTCACTCGCCTCCAACACAACAGCCACAAGGAGATCTGGCCTGCTGAACTGGAGGCATCTGTAAATCCTCTCTCCCGATTTCGTCAGAGCGCCTGAACAACCCATCCGTTGGTCAAGCACGCCCGAACCAATTACATTCAAAGAATCATGTGGCGTGGCTAAACGATAGTGTATATGTATACATGCATATATATCATATATCCAAATATTATATACAGCAAGCACGAGACATCATCCCTTTGAGTCGACAACCGTTTCTCCCGTTTCTCACGAGTGGATTATCCTGTTGTCACTGTCACATTTGTTGTTCCTTGTCTCACTTGTCTCCATGCGCCATGAAAAAACACGCACCTGATGCGCTCCACAAAAGTCTCGAAGCTTTCGGGGTGCTCTTCAATGGTATTCAAGAAGATCTGGAGCTTCACCTTCGGTGTGTGTTCTTCGACGGCTCGAGACGGCTCGAGTCACGGGGCCTCGGGACTGGCCCTTCGACCTTCCAGCCGTTTCAGCAAGGAGCGCCATGACCAATTCTCAGCCATTGCCAAAAAAAAGAAGGGGGGCCTTGGAGAACCAAGGGGGGGGGGAAGAAGAATCCGTGAAAATTGATAGGATTGACTCTCCACATCATGGAACTGGCAATTGGTGTATCGAGTTCTGCTTGTGTTTTCCTCTTAAAGCCAACATGGCTGCACGAGGAAGGCCACACCCCAGTTGCTCCGGAGGACTGCCACAGGCAGTCCTAATCATAGAGCATACCTTTCACCTTCAGCGGTCAATGCAGGCATATATTTCACACACTTTTCAATTTAATGCTTCCATACTATACATGGAGTGTCGCATGGACCAGGAAGGATTCTGAGCAGGAAGCCCCAGGGTGAAAATCGAAATCACACGGCACGTCTCCAGTCCGCCCTAAACTGCTTTTGGAGGCTTGGACGTGACTAGCCCATGGTCGAGCTTGAAAAATGCAAAGGTGGCTTTGGCATGTTTATGCATGTGTGTTTTGTGTAATTCATTTTGTCAGTTTCACACCCCAAGTCCTCAGGACATGTTATATACTTTTAGAAGGTTCCTTGGCTGTGCCACACTGGCTCAAGGTGGTTGGGCGATCTCGTCTGCCGCGATCTTACTGCCCAGTTCAGGTGATTTCTTTCCCTCCTTCGGTGCTTCTTCCTCCCTCGGTTCAGCATAGCCCAACGGCGCAGTACAGACACTCGCGACTGACTGATGTGTGGGGATCAGAGTTTGGGAACCATGTGCTCCAGTGGATCCTTTTCCAACGGAGGAGCAAAACCATCTTGATTGTTAGGTTATCATCAGCTTTTCAGCCGACATGAATGGCTTGACAATCTTGACACATATGTTCAGCATCTTTCTCCCGTATCTTATCTCTTTTCTGCCTTTGTCTAAACGACAATCTGTAGCAGGTTGGCCCAAACAACTCCTGTTGAGGGCAACATCTCTCGCGTTGCGGGAGCTAGGATATATTTGAGAACAAAAAACCGAGAACGGGTGCTTTTGATGTCTTCAATTGACAACAATGATGACTGAAATTTGTTGCTGCAGTTTTTGCAGCGAAGAAAACAAACAACACATCGAAGAAAGCACCACAGCTAGGCCCGCTAGGCGGAGTACAAGCACACCAACATGTGCGACTCCAGAAAACCATTTGGCTGTGGGTCAAAACACATATCCCCAAACCAGCATAGGTTGACCTCCTTAATAGTCCTTTCTGTTCATTTTTGGTGGTCAACCCAGGTAGCCGGGTTTTGACCCACAGCCATATAAAACCGACACCCTGTCGGTGAACAAAACTTCCATCAGCCGGTACTATCACCCAGGCCGATGGCCGAAGAGGGATGACGAGCATGGGCTATGCTAGTACATGTGGAGTTGTGTTCGTCCAAATGGCCACCCAAAAATGCTAAGAAAACAAGTTTGCCAATGTTCATCAGCCGGAAGATCTCAGTTCTGACCCTTCACCCGACCCTGGTCTTCGGAGAAAAACACACACGCACAGGTGCGAGCTGCCTTCGCCCTATGGACCTCGGCTTTGAGTGGCACAGTTCGACTTTAAAGAGGCCATGAAAAATGAAACACCCGCGAAAAAACGATTGGAATCATCCAGTCACTAGATGTCACTATAGACTATAGATTCTATAGCTCTTCTTTGGCTGTGGTGAAACACCCCAATTAGCAGGCGCCAAGGGCAGGGACCCGTGGTTGTTCTGCATGTGCTGTTGTGTGGCACACAAAAAACTATACAACGTGTTCAGTCTCTTCTGGCACAATAGAGAAATCCTCACTCCGTACCCAACGTTTGGGCTTGAGACATGGCACCTCGTCAAGAAAAACATGTCTCATGCCGATGTCTCGCTGAGGTCCATTCTTGTGGGTCATTTTGGCCGCTCCACCTGTTACAGGCTCACCACGGTGCATTGGTGTCGCTTCTCCTGCCAGCTTAAGAGAAGCAAAAAGGCTAGGCTTTCCACACATCAAACCGGCATTCGTGCTCCGTAAAGGAATCTTGACGGGTGAGTGGTCTTGGCATGTCTTGGCTCAAGGGCCCTACAGGACTCTACAGGTTTGTAATAAGTTTCTTCCAAGTCTTCAAACATGACTACGAGATGGCAGAACGAACATCAGTGCAATGGATCTCAAAACTGGAAATCGTATTGATTTCCAAACATCTATATAGTGCCCACAATGTACTGCTGCAAACCACACCTGATCCAGCTCCCCCCCCGAACAAAGAGGCCGTGCCATTTCGTGGGGCGACACAGGGTGACGGGTGATGTTCAGTGGGTCAAACAGTTTAGCCTTCACATCGAGCGATCCCAATCCTGCAGGTGGGATGGAATGATCAAAAAGTGTCACTCTCCAAAACCAATACAGTGGTTTCAGAGTGGATGGCACAAACCCCTATGCCTAGTATACATGTCTTTTGGACAGGGGGTCCATACAAACCGCCAAACTTGGGGACTGTGCCATCTGTAGAGGTGACGAACCTTCTGGCAAACCCTCTATTGCTTTGGCGCGATAAAATCACAACCTGCGACCGTTCTTCACAACTGCCGGCCTGGGCAGCCAGGCTTGGCATGGGGACCATCGAGCATTGCTCGGAGCGGCGGATTTCACGGGCGGCAGCGCCTTCACGGTCCTCCTCCGTCCGAGAGGGACAGGCTGCGAAACGTTCCCCTCGACGACCCCGGAAGCACCAAACTAGGCCCGCCAAGAAGCGCTTCAGCGCGCCGGCCAGGAAAGGCCTGATTGAATGATTCAGGGATTCCACCTGTCAAAAACTTGAATTTGCTCAAGAAGCCAGGAACGAGTAACAAACTTATATTTTCCAGAAGTGGATGTACCCCGAAAAAATCACCCCAAGGGGGCATCCATGACATTTTTTTGATAGCGCTGTAATGCCAAAAGTAGCTTCTTGCTTAGTAACGCACTTGTTACCAGTGGCGGTGCCCTTGTTAGTAGTAGCGGTGCCCTTGTTAGTAGTAGCACACCCCTGTTCACGGCTTCCGATTTACCTTGCGCCATGCAATGGGGAAACATGGGGCAACTCTTTGTTTGTTCATCTTCTGATGTTGTTCAATATGGTCTTCCCCAAGCAATGGCACCTGGTCTCGATGTCCTCTTCGAGGAGTTTTGGGGAGGTCTCCGTATATTCTAAGACACACCAGACACACCCCGATTTCCTGACAGTGATACCATGCCTTGGCCAAGCAACCGTGCAGTACCCACCCTGACCCACCAAGCATCCCAAGCAAGCGACAACCGTGTCCTGATGAGATGGAGGTGTCTCCACACTCAGCCCGACGTCCAAGTCATATCGCCTAGAGATTTCGGGAATCCCAGGAGCAAACAAGGCGTTCTAGAGTTGCCTACAGTTTAAGGAAAACGCTAGCAGGATGGTCTTCTTTAGGTAGCATGCAAGGTGAATGGACGAAATAAACAACAAACACACACAGTGCAATCAAAAAAAACTGTACACTGTAATCGTATGTCTATATACTGCACTTACAATCAAAAACAACGGAAACATCTTGCAAAAAACTGTTCTCTAAAAACTGGGCGTTTTCTCCCCTCACTCACCTGATGTGCTCCACAAAGGTCTCGAAACGTTCTGGGTGCTCCTCGACGGCAAGGAGGAAGATGTGGAGCTGCACCTGGAGCGCTTTTTGCCCAGTTCTGTTGTGCTGGAAGAAACGTCACTGAGCCCAGAATCCCCAGGACATCAAGGATTCACATCAAGGAGCCCAGAATCCCCAGCCAAGCCCAATCGAAGCAGTTGATGGGCTAGTGAGTCACTCTGTTCTTTGGTAAACTTCCCACGGCCAGACTGCCCAACCCCCCCGGCCTGATGACGACTCGTACCTCTACAGCAACAACCCCCCTACTTTGATCCCTCAAAATCCCTCAAACTACCCCAACCGATTGGTCAAGATTCCCTTGGTAACCTCATGAATTATTGCTCTGGGAGACTGTGGGAGTTAGTAATGTAGAGTCTTGATTCATAACCCCTTATGAAAAGGTTCTTCAATTCCATTGGGGGAGGTGATTAATCAAGAGTCAACATCATAATCGCCCATGTACATTGTGGGAATCCAATGTCGAACCCTTCGAACCCTTCCAACCATCACTCCACTCCTCAGGATCAACGGTCTGGCGCTGGAGCCGTTTCAGCAAGGAGCGCCACGAGCGAATCATGGACATGGAGGTGCGTTGGTGCTGATGTGCAACTTGGGCCAAAAGGCTGCAGAAGGGACTTGGACCATAGCCTTTTTAGGGATCCAGTTGCACAAATGGAACCTAGCTGAAGCAAAGCAAGACCATGGTTGCTCTGCCAATTCGATTTCTTTGGTCTCAAGAACCCCTCCATCCCTGCAAGCTTCAACCAACATCATCCTTCCTCATCTACCGCCTCAAGCATCGGACGCTGAACCCCTCGGGCTCCGGCCATGCACAAGAGCCGTGCTTTCGCCAACGCGTGTGCGCCCGCGGGCAAGGTGCCCATGGATGGACGATGATCCTTCCAGCGGTCCTGGCGGTCCGCGTGGCGCTGTGGCGGTGAAAGATTCGAAACGGATGGCTTCCGAAACCAAGAACTTAATGGCACTTAAGATCTCCAGTATGTCGATCTCTGGCCGCCGTTTCCATCCCCCCCACAAACGGGGACATCCCATTAGGAAAAAGCTGATTCTATAATGGACTCGTGACTCTATTTGATTTAGATGTGTAATTTGGATGGTCAAAGCACCTGATGTGGGGTAGCTTTGCTTTAAACAAGTCTCTATACCTTAGCTGACAGGATTGTGGAGTTCTCACTCGACGGGCCGTTCGCCCTGCCAGCGTCCTTCAAATAGCTCTCCATGACCTCCGTCTCTGTGCGATCAGCCAGTTGTTGAATGTACCTGTCGGTCGGGTCAAGTGCCCAAGAAGCTGTGGAACAATATAAAACACCCAGCAAACATCCCAGAAATCCGCGAAAACCCTTCGGAATCCTTCCAAAAACATCGCTTTGCAGCGTTTTCACCGCTCGACTCGACCACCGAGGGCGGTTTTGCTCTATGCCCTTCCACGACGAACACGAAAACTGCCATCTCAGACACTCCATGTATGCCATATATGCTTACATTGGGGTGATTTGGGCGGTCAATGTAGGCATATATGGCATACATGGAGTGTCTGGGCATGATGAACAAACATGAGCAAAGTTCCACCCTTAGCAGACTTGTTGACCACTTACGACTGGATGAACTTGTAAGACCCAAAGAATACAAACCAGCTGGTGACCATCAGTGATACCATTTCGGAGAATTGCAATTGGGCCTACGCAATTGCAATGAGCGCCGGGACGACCAATTTGAACGAGTTCAGAACTCTAGCTGCTGAAGACCGGGACCAAACAGTTTAAGGACTTGGAAGCTACCCCTGACCGTCCAAAGCTATGCCAATCCACTGCTCAAAATGATTGGAATTCGACCTTAGGCACCTGCTGACCTCAGCTAACTTCACCTTTCTGACCTGTTGCTTTTCTCCATGTCCGTGTCAGCAATGTTGTGGGCTTGTCATGCGAAAGCCACCAGTCAGTTGAACCCCACCAAAATAGGGTCTAAGAATCTTAAGGTAGCACATATATACTTGAACCGCTGCTAGAACTGTCCGATATGTTAAGTTTGTATGACACCTTCAAGTTGACGAAAGACTTTGAAGAGACCCCTCTTCAACCCATCCTTAAGCTTCTCCCGCCCAGAGAAAAACTCTGTGTTGGCACTGGCGAAGAAACGTCCATGATCCCAACAGTCGCGCCTCACGGACTTCATAAAGCTCTTCCTGAGGTGCTGAGAGCAGCTGAGAGGCTCAGGTTGCTAAAGATTCTTCACGCCAAGGGGGGGCAAGTGGTTGAGTAGTTGAGTCAAGTGTAGGTGGTCATCGATTTCTTCAGCTGCTCCAACTCTTGGCGGGAGGCGGAAGGCTTCTCTTGGGCTCTTGTGAAGCAGTGTGACCTTTTTCGGACCAATCTAGGGCGCCTTGCACAGCATCCTCGACATGAAGCGCACACACACACACATGTTTTGGACTCACACTGCACGCAAATTGACATGGACCATGCGTACGAACACCACGAAGACGAACACAAACAGGGGATGAACATGGATGAACTTCATGAATTCCCACTTCCATGTGGATGTCTCCTTTGGAATGTCACATCTCCAGTCTCTCCTGATCTCTCTCTCCACCTCTCCTCTCCGCCTGTCTCAACGTCCGAGCGGCAGGACTGGCATTGGCAGTTGCGACGTGAGCTTGTTGCACCCGAAGAGCGGCGTGGGCTCCGCGCCCGCCAGGTCCTGTGACCCACCGCGGTGACGAACCGCCGGTGACGCGTCGTCCGAGCGCAGGTGATGCAGGTGAGGAGTCGAGTCCAAGAGGTGGAAAACACGCACCATGCGGTCTTTCTTGGGCCATCTATGCCTAAGTCAAGCAGCAGCAATGTCTGACATCGGGATGTCTTTGGGGATGTAGAATCTGGTGTTTCTTGGGCCAAATCATCAGGCTTGGCAAGTGCAAAGAAGCAGCCTCTTGCAGGATGTACTTTGTCTTGCCACTTCTGAAGTCCATACAGAATTAATGTCGACGTCGGATTAATCAACGGCCCCCCCCCCCTAGAAGGTCAACAAGGTCAACAAGGTCTGAGATTGGAGGTTTTGGAGATCACATCCCCCCTAATAGTGGGGATGACCTGATGATGACAGGAGGAGGAGATGAGATGGGATGGAATGATGAGATCCATGAGAGCCCAAATACTAATTCCCGTTCATCATGAGATCCATGAGAGCTTATTGGCACAAATTTGATTTCTGAGATGATGAAAGGGAATTTGATTTGGAAGAATTGGAATGAAAGGGAATTAGTATTTGGAAGAATTGAGATGAAAGGGAATTAGTAATTGGAAGAATTGGAATGAAAGGGAATTAGTATTTGGAAGAATTGGAATGAAAGGGAATTTGTATTTGGAAGGGTTGGGATGAAAGGGAATTAGTATTTGGAAGAATTGGAATGAAAGGGAGTTAGTATTTGGAAGAGCTGGGATGGAATGATGAGATCCATGAGAGCCCAAATACTAATTCCCTTTCATCATGAGGTCCATGAGAGCTCATCATGGATGGGGTTGACTAATAGGGGGGGGGTACCCCACTATTAGAGGGGGTAGGGGGTGTATGGGGGGTACCCTTTCTGAGCTTCTCAAATTGCAGATTTTGATAGAGTTTTAATAAGGGAAAATGAAAGAATTTTCCTAGAGAGTTTTTGGAAATTCTAGGAAAGCTGTTGCTTTGGGAGAGCATTGGTAATCAATCAGAAGATCAGTTTCACCATGGTAAGACAAGAAAATATTGAAAAGGCAAAAAGAACAAAACTAATTAAACACACATATATATTTGAATAATTGTATTTTTCCTGGGGGGACAGGGGGTAGACTAATAGGGGGGGGGTTTCAGCCAAACAAATTTTTTATTAGAGGGTGGTGACTGTGGAAATTCATAGTTCAAATTAGTTTATTATAGGGGCCTGAACGCTGGGTAGACTAATAGGGGGGGGGTTCCCTAATCCTAGGTTGACATTACTCCTCAATCGTTGTCACAAAAGCTATCAAAAGCTGCAATTGGCCTGTTTTGGGGCACTTTCTGATCAAAACCAACCACGTGACCTATTTAATTTCATCAAGCCTGTCTCCTTCATGGGGTTCCAACTAAATCCTCTCTATGAAACATCCTCATGTGAAAATGAGCCTCAATGTGCATCTCAAAGCCAACCAAAACTCTGAGCGTAGATAAACCACTCTCAAGATCTCTCAAGTTCTTCATTCGCCATGAGTCTCAAGTTCGTCTCATTCAGCAAGTTTTGGGTCTTAAGGCCCTGGGACCCTAGTTGATCCTCAAATGAACCCAAGTCTCTGGAGACAGACTTGGCTTTTGATGAATACAGTAGATCTTCGGACTCTGATGGGGTCTGCTGGACCGATGCCGCACGGCTGGCGCCACTAGGCTCCCCAGGCCGTCAGCCAGTGCACGAAGTAGAGGCTCAAATCGCGGCGACTCACACGTCTTCCCCTCGGAACATGGGTGAGATGGGCGACGGAGTGGCGACATGGAGTGGAGTGAAGTACAAGCTGCACTGAATGGAGTGAAGTACAAGGAAGGGTCTTTCGCATTTTTGTTGGTTCCATGTCTTTTAGCATTGGAGGTTAGAAGCTCAAAAAAAAGGCAACACCCCAAAGCACTTGGTCACTTGGCTAACTGAACGGTTTTCCTTTCGACCAGCGTGGTCAAAAAAAGAGAGTCTCGCAAAGAAGCTTGCGAGAGCTTCCTAAAAGGGTAGCTTGGACCTTTGGGATGGATTAATCAACAGGATTCCTGGATTCATACGGCACGTATATTACAACAAATCATATCAAGTCATATGTGAATATTAATGCAGTTGCACATATAGTTAATGTTAACATTAACATATGCAAAAAGTACCTTTCCATATCTTTCCATGCCTTTCCCAGAAATCATTGCTGATTTCACGGCCATTTGAACAGCCTGGTGGGCTGCTTTTTCACTCGAGCAAATGAGTGTTTTGCCATGTGCTTCCACGTCTGCCTGTTGTCTTCCACGCACTTCACACTGGCATGGATCTTGAGAAGGATTGGACAACATCTTGCATCCAACGTATGGCATTCAGGGGGTCTTGAATGCATCTTTGGTGTTGGTCGGTCAACCTGGCCCTTGACTATAGAAACAACCGAGTTTAGTTTGCGGATGCTCAAACGCCTAAGGCCTAAACATGCTTTTCGGAAACAAAGGAACACATGTCGGTAGCATACTGCGAGACATCAGGAGTCCAGCTTGGAACACGCCTGGGCGGTTTGTTCAGCCCATGATTCTCGCAAAAATGCCATAAGTGGTGGACCAAATATCCGATCGAGGGGCCTCTCTTGCGATAGGCCCCGGAACCTCCTTCCAGTCTGAACCCAGGGCCGATGCCAAACCATATTTTGTCTAATCCATTCCAATCCTGGTCCCCAGTTGGCTACTAGTCTGCCAAAGCATTGGAAAGGGCTGAACACGTCCGAGTCCGAGTAACCATTAACTTCATGCGAATCGGCAAATGTTCACGAAGGTCAGTTGGCGATGCCAACAGGAAGTTCAGGTTGATCATACAGAAACCACGACAACGATCATGCCAAGTGAGTTAGGAATTTTAGGCCCATGGGACTGCCAGTTTGGACTGCCCCAGACAGACGCCCCCCCTGGCACCCCAACTGCAGACCGGCAGGGACTGATATCAACAACCTTCGCCTTTCGAGACTGGAACTCTGGGCCCTGGTGCCCACGATCACGCGCCATGATCGCTGCCTTGATGCCCAGGAAAACAGCTCCTGGCCACGCTGGAGTGGAGTTGGTGCGGGTGAAGAAGCAGCACCCTCCAATAGGGCTGTGTCGCCAGTGACCTGCTAGTGGGTCACAAAATTGATGTACAAGTTACAAAAATGGTGTCGACACTTCGCGCCATCCAGTCAGATCCATTAGTGAAAACGCGGGATGCCCAAAGAGGTTTTTGTCTCAGCCAAGGCCGAGTGGTGATCCACCAGGAAAGGAGGTGTGGATATGTCAGTTCTCTCTCTTGGTTCATGAAGTCATTATGTCTTTCCTGGCTTGCCACCCCACCCTGGCTGAAAAAGGAGTTCACACTTATCAATCTGCTAAGATCCCACCAGGGGGGCCCGGTATATGATGCCCCCACTGTAGACTGAAGGATGTATATTATGTGCTTCTAAAGTCACCCTTGAAATTCGAAAAAACAAAAGGTACAGTACCCGCAAGAAGCCCTCCCACAAGGCCATGCACCATTGCACTAAGCGCTTCGTGCTTTGCTTGCTTCGCTTTCGTCCCAAAGTGAACACACAAGCTGGGCATGAGCACCCAGTTGATCTCAAGTGACTCTAAAACCCTTGGTGACTATGTCTGTCAGGACACGTCAGGACATGGCATCCCATGGCACATTTTGCTCGCATCGCCCAAAAGGCATTGCGCTCCGTTCGTCAGGTTCCTTTCAACTTGATTTGTATTGCTTTTTGTGACCAGGAGGTTTTGCATGTTTGCCGAACATCTTCAAACTGACTTGGATCTCATCCTGCCTGGCGGAGCCTCTGCCTGCACAAACCATCCTCAGAACTGCAGGAACTGCTGAGTGCTGCTTTCTGGCAGAGTTCTGACGATTGAATCGATGAAGCCGATGGAAATGATTGACCTTCGAAGGAGTAACCCCACTTCCGGCCGAAATTGTTGACCAGGACAAGGGAACATCCTGAGGATGTGTTTCCCAAGCTGATCAGCTGATGGCCTACTGTAGAGTTGGGTGGGCCACCCGATAGTCTTTTAGTTATATCCCTAGTGGGTCAAACTCGACCAGCATTTGAGAAATTCTCTTGGGCACTATAGATGTTCCATTCAAGTATCAAATCGATTTCAGGCAGGGTCTGCTGGACCGTTTTGAATGGCGACCTTCAAAAAAAAGGACTTGCCGAAAAACTTTGGACTTTGGATTTACCATCAGAAATATGAAACCCGAGACATTTCTCTAAGGAGAGACACAATAATATGGGAATCCTAGTGCTGCATATATGGTTGCGGTGTATCTTGAGTCTTGGGTATGCCATTCTCACTGTATTTCAATACCGGTCCTGCCAAGTGTGGTGAACAGGACGGACGCCGAAAAAACGCCAGCATCTCACCAGAACCAGAACCGGGCTATACCGCTTCTCTGCCGCGCCAAGGGGCCGTTGTTGAAGGCCAGTCCACTCAAGACGGTCTGCACCACTTGTTGCAAATGACCCGGGAGTTGGCCTTCGGTCTCAACACCGAAGCGGCCCAAAAGGCCGGCGGATCGGGGACGGCGAACGAGAGACGGCCCGCAGTGGGGAAATGCGCTCGACTCGTGTCCGGGAAGAAGCCGCCCAAAGATGAAAATAGGCTCTAATTGTGGAACATCTGTTTGTTAACCTAGAGAGTGGAGAAGCCTATCTGATGAGCTTTTGTTGCTGCCCTGGCAATTGCTGCCCTGGTGGTGACAGAATCCTGCTGATGCAAGCAAGCAAGCAAAGGGTGTGCCTTGCGTGCTTCGTGCCACAGTTCACAAGGGTGCCATTGTACTTAAACATGCTGCTGTAATTAATCCCAGTAGATCCACTTCGCACTATAAGTAGGCCCCAGTGGTTCCAAAGACGAAACCCGTAGACCTCGAAAACCGAGAAACCCCTGAGTTCCTTGACCTTAGCGGCATGCCTGGGATCCGACTTGCTTGGACCTTCTGGTGACACTCAGGTCCTATAGGTGTGTCACGTGGCGCCCAGGGCGGTGAGCTCTGGGCGGTGCACTTCGGTCATTTGGGTGAAGGGCGACTCAACAGGATGATGGGGTCTCCCAGTGCATCAATCACTATACTCCGACTCAAAATGGGCTGCTGGAAGACCATTTTCCTTTACCAAACAGGTGGTTTTCCACTTCCATGTGATGTATTCGTCGGAGGACGCACCAAGTTTGGTCCGAATCTACCGACCAGGAGGACCACAATAAATGTCATCTAGGTCCCCTTGCATAGGGATGGGAGGATGTGAGTGTGCTGCTCCATGATGTAGAAGATGGCCTCGTTCCGAGTTTGCTCGCTTTCGGCATCCCAAAAAAAGCAGCTCACATGGCGTCGGACCTTCTCACCGTCTCCAGAGGGGTCGTTTCTGTACGACCTCTCTCGTCGACACGAGACAGCGGGCCGAAGGGGGTGATGTTCTCTCCTTCGGGGCGCGAGTGGAATTCATGGTTGTGATGGAAGGGGAAGAACCGTAAAAGCTTTTTAAACAAAACATGGACGAACTTGGCGAACGTGAACGATTGGGGCGGCGAGTGGAGAGTACTTCTCTCCCGCCGATCGTGTCAAGGCCAAGCGCAACAAGAGAAGTATCGATATATATCGATATATATATATATCGCTTCAAGGCCAAGTCGTGCCAGCCCCGGTAAAAAAAAAGTAAAAACAACGTTTAGAAACTAATTCACTTCCTGATAATCCTAGATACTTCTTGCACTTCTCGCAATTGCCTACTTGTGCATCATGCCATCAGAGACTGAAATCCGCCCATCAGGGATGCCGAAAGACCAGGTCATGATCTGCAATCACTTCAGCTTCCAGGTAGCCTGCCGAGGGTGGGGCCGCATGATCTGCCACGGACTGGATGAACAACATGCTGCGATGTTGGATTGAGAGGTCCGGGGTATCCAAATGTATCCGAATATAATGGTACACCGAAGCACACAGAATTCTCACACCTGATTTTTGGCACTTCGCCGTAATATACTGTTGGGTCACCTGCCTGGCACACAGTTGTGTGCACATAACTCGCGGTAGCACTGCGTGAAGTACTGTAATCCAATTTACAATTTACAGAAAACCCCTTAGACATCTTAGACTCTTAGACTAAGATGACCATTTTCCTCAAACAGGTGGTTTTTCACTTCCATGCTGATGCTAAAACTGTTGGTGGCTCGAGTCCTGAACTCGCACTGGGAATTCCGGAGCCGGAACCTTTCTTCACAAAACTGCCTTAAGGCGGAAATCATATAGTTTAATTGTGTCTGCACCCCACCCAAATTCCTTCAGCCAACCAGAAAAACCTTCCTTCCCCATCTCCCCCCATGCCATCGCCCGTGCTCCTGGTCCTCCTCCCCGGCGAGACGGACGGTTCGGCACGGCCTCGGTACGGGGCATCCGCCCGTTGCACCGTGGGCAGCAGCGCGTTGATCTTCATGATGTCGTGCAGGGCCTTAAGTGAGGTCGAGCTGTTGAGGTCTCTTGGATTAATCAACCCACCCCCTTATGAAGAGGTTGGTCCATTCAGCTGGGGAGGGTTATTGATCAAGAGTCTGCTGAGTCTACCCGGGAAATCATGGGAAATCCTCTTCATATGCAGGGGTTTATTCAGAGAGCTTGTGGGGTCCGTCCGGACCGTTTGACGCCCTACACACGTTTTGGGCGGTCGGAGTCGATGGACAAATGTGGACAAACACCCCAATTGGTATGCGCCGTTGGAAGCGGACAAAACAAGGTTGGCGAGTTTCAAGGCTCGAAGAGTTTTGGTTTCACTTTATTGGGCGAGAAGTGACCATCTCTCCTCCCCTGTCAAGACCTGACACTTCTGTCAATTGAAATGCTTCTGAGACGCCAATTTCCGCGCGCTCAAGGGATGCTTAACATCTTTCCACGTAGTTACGTGGTGCAACACAGCGACCGAGTCATCCACAGTTGATGCGGGCGGAAATCACACGCACCATCCACTTAGCCCTTTGACACCTGCAGGTTGGACTCCGTACAGCCATCTACTCAAGGCAGTCCTTCCAAGCAGTCCTTCCAACTGCTGCCAGGCCACAGTGAGAACCAAAAGCGCCAAAGTTGACTCTGGATCAACGCGAGTGGCCCCGCCCTCCTTCACCAATAGACCTGCCGAACTAGCAAACGAGAAAAACCATATGACAACGACCGTGCCAACGAAACAAAGGACCACCAAACAACACCAGTTTACTAAGACGGCATGTTGGGTGTATCCGAATCCCTAGGACAAACAAAAACACTTTTTGGGGTGACGTTCCTTGTTAAGCCCTTGGGGTGACGAGAAGACCGGCCACACCGGTCCGTTGAGTGCGTGGATGCGACGTCTGTCATGCATGAAAAGACCTCCAAGCTTGTGTCTGTCAAAAGCTGTATGATATCATCAGATATCAACTCCAAGTCCGGGCAGAAATGTGTGTGTGTGTGTGTGTCTGTTTTTCTGAAACTGGTGACGGCTAAGGTAATTAGCTGATATTAGCTGCAGGACTGGTTAGGGCATAGGTAGGAGAACCGGCATCATGAGAGCTTATTGTGGGGCTTAGATTGGCACTCTCATGTTTCTTCCAGCCTCAGTTTTCATGGACACCCAACACAAAAGTCTGGCTCCTTTGAGAAAACCCATGGCGAGCCGCGGATTCGGTCGCGACGGATTCTTCGATTCTCAGACCGCGTTGCCGCCGACACGTGCGTTCGACGCGTTCCTCTGTCAGACCTCGTGTGGTCGTAGGCAGTAGGCGGCAAAGTGTGCTTAAAGGTTTGGACACACGGATCCCTTTCTGAAAAGAACATGTTCCGCCAGTCTGTGAAAACTATTCTACATCCACTGTCGCGTAAAGGATGAGACACCAGCTGGGCATATGATATAGTTCATACATAGATGGCCATTCTTCAGTGGTTTTTCAGTGGTCGTCGCCTGCATCAAGCATCAGGTCTTGAAAGTGCTTCCAAATCTCGCCGTCACCATAGAAGACCTCAGAATTGCGCATCGGCGCAGGTCGGTCCGCCGCATTCCTTCTCGCGGTCCGCGGTGGTGACAACTTGCATCGGTGCAAATGCTTCGGGGGTGGGGACCTGGTCCACAACCAGGGGAAGGTACCCACCTTGATGGTCCCCAGAGGTCCCAAGAGGTACCCACCTTGTAGGACTCAGGTGGAATCGTGGGAACCATCTCAGTGGCCGAATGGACCCACCTTGGATGAACTGAGTCAACCTGAGGAAGATGATTCTCCTTGGAAGACGAGAAGTGGCATGGCCCCCGAATGGAAGACCATTTTTCCTCTAGGAACGGGTGGTGTTCCACTTCCGTGATGATTCCAGGGAGTGTAAGTGTAAGCATGTGTAAGCATTTTCAACATGGGGTGGGTGACTCCAAATGGGCAGACTCGACGAACAAATAGTTTGTCCGCTCATGTTAGTTTGGTGTGTGTGTGTGTGCGCGCGTGTGCCGGGCTTTCTTTGGAACCTGATCTGAACAACACATAGCAGCAGAATCTCTCACAGTGGCCGTGTGTATGGAAAACCAGCTACATCAATCTACTGTACCCCGCTGATGACTCCAACGCTTGTAACATATACAACAACAAAATCCCAGTCCAATGAATGCACGATGATGGCTGGACAGGAACGTCTGGATGGGCGCCCTTTTGGTCCCAACAGTCGCAACATTGAAGTCTCCAAGCTGCTCCACACTTCTCGCTTTCCCCTTCACGGAAGGTCAAAGGCCTGGCCGAAGGAAACACGTTGTTTTTCTGGTTGAAGGGATGTTTCCCTACCAGAAAAAGAGAGAGAGAGAGAGAGAGCGAGTGCTGTCAACTTTGGATTGATCAACCCCCTCAAGGTGAACAAGTTTTGAGATGGGAGGTATTGGAGACCACGTTGCCTTTATATTTAGGTGATGACCTGATGATGTATGTATGAACAAGTGTCCAATCAGTTGGTTTGATTGGGAAGAGGAGGAGAAGGAAACTGAATGGGGAAACCGCAGTCCATCTCATGTGAGACGGGAAACTGTCTTTGATGGGATGATTTGGAAAAGGAAAAGGGACATTTGCAGGATGAAAGAGATGTAAAAAACAATGGAGGCCTTTCAATAGTTGGGCTTGATTAATAGGGGAGGTGCCCCTACTAATCAAAAGGAGGTAGGGCCTGTGTGATGGGTACCCTTTGTGAGCTGGAAAACCCTAGGTTTTTGATATAGCTTTCATAAGGGGAAATAAAGTTATTTTGCTAAAGATTCTAAGGATTGTGTACAAATGTTGCTTTTGGTAATCAGAATGGTTGGTAGCATGAGCCTTCAGGAGAAGCAATCACAAGGTTGGATCAAAAGATCAGTTTCACCATTGGATGAGTTTCACTATGTCTGACCATGGGAAGTGTTGGATGCTATCTGCAAACAAAAGGATTTAGATTGTATTTAAACAATATACTGAACTAGTTGTTTAACTTTCTGGAGGCAAACGGGCTTGATAAGGGGAGGTTTCTTAATCCTATGTCGACATTATTTCAAAAGAATTGAAAAAAGGCATCGTGTTCTAGCATACTTTGGCGCGTCAAGGGTATTTATATGCACTTATCATTGAAGCATCATCATTTTGGGTGAACCATTGACGACCTATCTACTGCGAGGTGGGGAGCGAGCGCAGCCGAGCTCGTCGGTTTCGCAACCGAAGGACGCCAACGCCGAGCTCTCCAAAACGGCCGTTAGACGGTTGCGCATGCTGAGATCTCTGCAAAAAACAAAGCCCAGCAGCATTAAGATCGTCCAGCAACTTGATGGGCGGTGCTGGCAACATATATATATATATAATTACAATTGTTTGATACCTATACTATTACTATACTTAATACTATCACATACACTATCATATACTATATATAGTACAGTGCCAGCTTAATAATACATCTTTAACATCGACCCCCCCACATCTCCTTTTCCCACCGGCTCCTCCAAGAATCGTCCACGCCACGGCAAAAGCCATGCTTCCCATCGAGGTTGAGACCTCAGTGGGTGACCCAATCCGCTAATGGGAAAAGCTTCCCAAACAGGTCGGTGGCAACATCCTCAAAACTCCTCAACTTGCCTGCGCAGCAAGTAGAAAATTGGTGGAGCCTGCCAAGTGAGAGGCCGTTGTGTTTCGGATCCCTTCTGGTGATTCATGGCCCATCAGTTGGTTCCCCTCCATCCAACTGGCTTCTTCGTCCCACTGGGCTCCTCCCACGGAAGAGCCAGTAGATCGCGAAGAAGGCGCCCATGGTGCGCTGGAATTCATCCCCGGCAGCTCTACCACCGGTTGCGAGGCCCTGCAAAGGTGGAAGATCTTGAAAGGATGTTTTCTTTTAATGGCCCAGCCTTTGGTCTCACCAGGATTTTCGTTGAAACAACATTGCATGAATACAAAATGACTATCATATGCCATTAATGGATGCTTCTCACTCATAATTACCACAAGAACAACCCTCAAAAGTTCCAAACCTTCTGGAACTATATGTTACTGTTTCTAGTGTGACGCAGGTATACAACACAACCGCTACTATAAAGGGTTGTGAATGGACACCGCTTAATGTCTAAGGAGCTATGAATACCTATACTAAGAGCCTCTTCAGGAATCCTCGTAGCAGCCCCAAAAGTCGTACATTTCTAAACCAGGAGTGTTAAACCATGTGAAACCGCTCTGCCGGTCCTCAGGAGAGTCGTCAGCGGCCTCGACAGAAAGCCTCATCGGGACCAGGTTTGCTGGATCATGGGTATCGAAACTTGTGCAATACATTGTTGATTGGGGTCATTAGGGCGTGTTGAAGGGATTTGGGATTTACTAGCTTCCAGGAATCGTCCCTCTTGAATACTGTATCGGCATGTATCGGCAATGGACATGTGATACAGGACACTGCAACATTCTGACATGGACATTCTGACAGGGCGGTGCTCGTCGCTTTGGACAGTGTCGTCCAGTCCATGGCCTCACCTCGACCTAGTGAAAGCCGGCATTCGTGTCTACAGCTGTCTACACTCCCTGAACTGATGGAAGTGGGCTTTCCACCTGTCTGTAGAGGAAAATGATCATGCAAAAGGCCATTTGACCAACGTTCCATGATTGTTCCATGGGAGTGTATCAATCAGTTGCATCCTTTCAATGAGAAGTCCGATCATACCAACCAAAGCCAGCTGGGCTTTCATTCGTGGCGATCCCCTCTTTAAGAAGTCTCAAGAGACTAGTAGTAAGAGACTTGAGACTTGTTTAGTAAGTGGCCATCACCTCTTTCAAGTGGCAATCCCCTCTTATTTCGTCTCACCTTTTGGTAGTCTCCGTCCGGATGCTGTCATGTCACTTGAGTCACTCGCCATGTCGGACAGCACGAGTCGAACGGAACGCACGGAACGCCGTTCATCCCCGGAGACTCAACACCAACGGTCCAACGGATCAGCCCACCGCATTCCACCACGCCAACGGGTCCAACGGGTCAGCCCACCGGTCCCCGTTCCGCCCACGAGACCCTTCGAGGCTAAAGAGATGAAGCTCCGGGAAGGTCGCCAACAGGTCCTGCGACGCAAACCCGGGAGAACGCTCTTCGGAATCGCTCGGAATCGCTCGACCCCGGGCCGTTCGGGGCCACGGTGGAGCTGGTGGTGGTTCTTTGAAGTGCCACCCTGGAAGATGGGGAAAAGGAAGGAGGGCGAATGGGGTGAAGAGTTTGAGCACCTTGGAGTCCTGCTCTTGAACAACTTTCCTTGAGGAAGACCACGGGCATCGACAGTTGGCCTTACATGGCCTTACTACAGTAACTCATCTCAGGTGCAGAACACTAACAACTAGTAAAAGACTAAACAAAACTGATCCAATCTATTAAACACTATATAAATCTATTTCATCAATCAAATTGATAACTACCGCAGTCTTTCTCCCGCATATCCGGGTTGATCCAAGTATGGTGCAACACTACTCGGCAACTTCCCTATTCAACCACTCACATATCACTCGTTCCCAGTCAATCTCAAAAAAAGCTTTTGTATCCGAATCAATCAAAACAGTTTTGTCCTGATAGTACTGAGCCAGCGAATACTCGGGCTTGGCAATGTCTTTGGCAATTGCCTTGGCGAATACTGCCGGGTCCGGATCCCCCAGCGAAGCGTGCGAAGGCCAACAATACGTGGCATGCTTGGCCATACACCAATGTGCCGAGTCGGAAACTGCTTGGAGCTGAACAATCTATATATGTCTTGGAGTCTTGGGTCTATCCTATTACCTGGGCCCAGTAGATGATGATGGTTCAGTTGTGGGCCTTGTTCAAAGATGATGATAATTGTTTAACAAACTGTTACAGGTAATAGGACAAACCCTATGTATGTCATAATATATGCACTCCAAGTCATACAAAAAATATCAAAAAATCCTTCACATCCGAAAAGGGAGCCTGCCTTGGTCCATGGCTTCATAGGTGCCAAGAAGTCAGACGACAGAATTACTTGCCCAAACAGCAGGCACGCCGTTTTACAGTCCAAAAGCAGCTGGGACGTCATGCCATCCCGAAACTCAAACGCTTCGTGTATGGATTGTTGTATGGAATTGGAACCAATACATATTATATAGAGAGAGCTGCAGCTGCAGCATATAGAGGGAACCTCTAAATAAAGTACATGATATCAATATATTCATTGTGTACCGTATATCAATATGCATCAATATGCAAAAACAAAAAGGCGCCATTGACTGCTCCAATCCGACGTCGTCTCTGGCGTCGTCCCGGACGTCTTCCCACCTGCGCACGCTCAAGATCCATCTTGCGACCAGCCAGGACTGCCTGGCAGGGGTGATGCACGGTTCCCTGTGTCGAAAGGCCAAAAGACAAGGAACACACACTATAGTCATCAGTCATGAAATGCGCAAATGTATAGAACACTAAAAACCTGAGTGACCTGTGACCTGTCCATACATTGGAATATCGGATGCTTTTGGACTAGCTAAGACTGTAGCTAATCACATGTTTATGCATTTTTGATTGGAAAAGGAGTCAACAGATTTCCAAGCAATGCTTCCCGTGCACTGACCGGCTGACCCACGCGCTACAAGTTCACCCCCCCTCAGCGCCTCCAAGACCGGCGACGGACTCCCGGTCTTGCCCGTCACAAGGGCCTGGCGCCGTGATCCGGAGGGTTTGAGAGGCTCCCGGTGGATATCACAGTGGATATCCGACTGTTTGTGGGTGGTTTTGGGCACATCCTCAGAAGTCCAGATCTCTTCCAGTAGGCGACAAGAATGTTCTCCTGTCAGCACAACATCAAAGAGCGCACGCCTTCATTGTGGACCGTTCTTCCTTACAGGTAACTTACAGGTATTGACACACTCCCACGTGGTAGGGCCCACTTGTGCCACTTGATCCAAGAAACAAACACCTATGCCTATGAACATTGGAATAAGGGCTTCATGGGGCTGGAGACACCTCACCTGGCGCCTGGCCATGCTTTATCGGGGCCTTCATGAGTGTGTTTAATAGTTGACACCTTCTTTCAAACATGACTTCATCGGAATTGTGCCAAAGCAACATTTTGCACAAATCGGTGAAACTCTAAACCTCCTTTTCGCTTGGCTTGCCAGTCTCTCCACTCCTGTAGCTATGCTGGATGTTGGAATTAGGTGCAAACTGTTTGGCACGCCGTGCCGGGCAAAAGAACGCACCAAAGAACATGCCCGGTGCAGGAAGCACATGAACCACGCGCCTCAAGGGATACCGCCACACCTGGAACGCGTCCTGGCACCGGGGAAGGCTGAAAGCACAGCTTTCACTTTTTGAATGTGTGTGAAATGTATGCCACATGTCTACATGTTTCACCATAAGACTTGCAAATGATCGTTTTGATGTTCCATCCTAAGCTCTTACAAAAAGGGGGAGGGAATAGTACACATGTTTACCTCACTGACAGGACATGATTCCAACAGTACCTGAATACTTTTTGGGGGTTGGGAAGCTTTTATGCTTTGAACAATCAACCACCTCACCGTGTACACCACTTCTGGAACCACCTCGGGCTCGTCCGATCGATCGGTGGGTCTGCAGAGGTTTGGGGCATGGATCATGCGGCACGCACTGCCCACGACAAATGTGATGTTTACGACGTAAGCCCCCCCCCCAGTTTGAGGTCGACAAAGTGGAGATTCCTCTAAGAAATAACGTTGGAAACAGTTGCTAATCGTTTCAAACCTATTTGGGGGCCAGAAATCACACGAAAAAAATCACACTTCAACCTGAATCATCTCGAAGCTCGTGCCTGCGCGCGATTCAGGAGGTACGATCTCAGTGTCTCCAACAAACGAGCTGCCCTGACAAGGCAACACCTGAGATCCAAACTGCGAGGTCGTGGGACAGTTCACAGCATGCTCACAGCTACCATGATATTTGATTTTAGGTCTTTAAACACCCTTACACCCTGGAAGATTCACATGGAACCTGAAAACGACTGGTTACATTGATGTTGAATTAAATGTTAAAACCCCGGGTGTACCAGATCTCTATCTGCGCTACCCTTTCATCCTTCGGAACCTCTCTATCACCGCTCCACTGGACCCAGTCGGAAGCTCATCACCCGCAGGTCGTGCTTGTTGTGGCACCCAAATGCACACCAAACCCAGTGCTTTCTTCACATTTCTTCACAACTGGAAAAGGCTCCGTCTTTCTTCGCAGTCCATGTGAAAGATGAAACTTGATGAACCCTGATGGGTTGAAGGAAAAAATCAAACAAATACCCTCTAGATATGCTTTGATATGCTCTATCAATCCTTATCAAGTCTCTCTGAGCCCCCGAAGGGAAACCGCGGGTCTCGGGACCCCGGCACTGGCCATGCTTGCTGCGCAGGTCCCCATGGCTCATGCCACTGCCGAAGGGTTTTTCTGGATGTCCGACTTGCAGAATCCGTTGGAATCCGACTTGGGATGTTGGAGATATTGAACCATATGGCAACAACATCATGAAAACAGGAGCAAAATCATGGCACATCCGCCCAATTTGCATGACCTGACCCTCATGGGATCCTCGGTTTTTGTGTCTGTCTTCGCCACATCGGTGGTTCGGCAGCTCAGACGCTGCGCAGAGCTGAGCCACTGAGGGTGGTGCTGCGCGATGGCATGGCGGCGTCCAGCTGTGATCAATGAGGTGCAACAAAGAAAAAAGGAATGGCATGGAATTGCTACTTACTACATCCAGTACTATTACTATTGCCCCGAAAGAATCCATGGGAGTGGAGGCTCAAGCCACCTGTTTT